TACGAAGTTATACGAATATTCTAAAATTAATTTTTCTCGTTCATTATTATTATTTCTAGAGTTTAAATCAGCATTTTGTATTTGTATAATAGTATTATCACATTGTTCAGAATTACTAATTAAGTTTGAATTATGTTCCTGTTGGGCAATATTATGCAAAACGGCTGTTGCTATTATAATAGGAAATGTATTTTCAACTGTGCGACATCGCATTCCAATTGATAAAATAGCAAATCTTCTTTTCCAAATGCCAAAACATCTTTCAATTCTTGTACGTGTTCGAATTTGAGCTTCATTATATAAATGTTCTTCTGGTGTTGTGGGATGTAACAACGGTGTCATTAAATATGGTAGATTTGGATACCCAGAATCTGCAAGAAGTAAACTGTCACCAAATGTATGTGCATCAAATAAGGTTTTAATTCTAGAATGATTAAAAATTGTAGAATCATGTGTTGATCCTGGCCAACGTGCTACAATATCAATTATTTCTAATTTGGCATTTATTATGACTTGCACATTTATAGAAAAAAAGCCTTTTCTATTGCGATATAATTCGCAATTTTCTCCTCCTAAAATACAAATATATTATTTGTTAATTGCAAATATATAATTTTGTAAGCTAAGAATAAGTTCAAGTATTACATACCAAATGATTCCACTTTAATATGTGTGCAATCCATACAACCAATAACACGAATAAATTTGGCTACTTTGAAAAATTTTTGTTCATTTTCTCGAATTTCCTCAGATAAAAGAGGTAATTTTATAAAATCGTTTCGTAATGCAGCAATCTCAGGAGATACTCTATGAATAATTTTGTGAGCGCTTGTTTCACTAATTCCACAAAAATCAGCAGCTGTTATTAAAAAGCATCCAGTTGCATAAAATCTGAGTGCAACCAATAATTGAATGACTGGTGGAATAGCAGCATTACTGAAATAACACATAAAATGATATTAAAATATTGTTCATAGAAACGTAATTGTGTACACTTCTTTTTTGGAAAATTTATTTTATACTACTTGGTTTTGTATTTATAAATATTATTATTTATACCGATTAGTATTATATTGTATTTTATTTTCGATTTTTGTAATAACATTTCAAAACTTTTTTTTGATATTACAAATCTTCTTTGAAAATCTTTTTCTTCACAAATATTAAAATAATTGTTGCGTAATTTTATAATATGTAATTTTTTGAAATTTTTTTATTTAAATTATCACACTCATCACTTTCATCATTATAAAAATTGTCATATTCCGAAAACCAATTATCATTAATAATATCCATGACAGCAGCTCAACAGTTGTTTAGGTTATGAGAGAAATTTTCTCTTTCTACTACAATATTTTGTTCTTCATGTTGGCAATCCTGTAACAGTCGGTTAAAGTTAACCGACGTTGGAAAAAGTGGCCCTAAATTAGCCAGTGGGTGCTGGGACTATCTCTTTTTGAAGATAGAGTCCGCACTGGTTTAAACTCTATGAGGGCTTTGGCCTCAAATCACGTCGGTGGGTATATAGTATATATATAGTATATACATATATGAATATAGTATTATACATACATTTTTCAAATGAAATATTTTATATCTAATTTATATTTATTAGACACCTTGTATAAGTCTATTTCATTTCGTATGTACAGTACATGTACTATGTTTTCAGTAAAAAAAGCTTCATGTCGCGCTGAATTTTTAAAACGATTTATTATTATTAAGGCATTGTTAGCATTGATATGATAAATATAAATTTATATTATATTTATATGTTTTTAAATTTATATTATTATATTACGTCACTATTTATATATATCAATATTATTACTGTTATATCATAAAAATATCGTACACTATTATGGATTCTATGTTACTACATTTTTACTTCATATAATCATATTCCATATATCCGATAGTTATTAGTTAGAAATTGAAAAAGATTGAGAAACATTGCACGGAAAAGGATTATATTTTTTCATAATGGAATTAAATTATTTATTTCAGAATGCTTCTTCTTTTACATTAAAAATTTCCTTGTTGTATATGAATAACTTCTTCACACACACTATAATTAAGATATTCAAGAAATTTATTCCACAACTTATTTCTTTTTACAATATTTATAAGATTTACATCTTACAATAAAAATGTACACACTGATAGATCTTTAGATTTATATAAGTTTAATTTAAAAATTTATATTAAATATTACTCATTTTCACTTTCATGAAACTAATGTAACACAATTGTCTATACAAAAATTTATGGAATACTTGTACGTATTCGAAGGCCATGCATATCTTTGATTTCTTCTTTAAGAACCTGCAATTATTCATAAAACAATTTTTATAAAATAATTTTAATATAGTTTCTCATAAAAAAAAAATGATTAGACTCTACCTCGTTAATGATTCGATGCTGCTTTACGGTATTTAGTCCTTTGAATTCTGGAGCAACAACGTTTATATCAAACATAGCACCACATCCTCCTATAAATATAATTATAATTATATCAAATTAAATATGTATAGTTCTTACTATAATATTTTTTAATAAAATGTTTCTTACCTGATACATCAGTGACCTCAATCAGTTGGGCATTGGGAAACTTGTTTGTAAGAATGGATATCATTTTTTGCTCAGCCTGTTTACCTGCAAGTACGCCATTAGGTCCGTTCCATAGCCGAGATAGCAACTGCAACAGTTTGGTTTTATGCATCTTTGTCATTGTAGTCTTTTCGAGACTCATTGCTTATCTATAGTTTACAAAATATTGCTAAAAAAAAATAGATAGACTTAGACTGAAGTGAAACATTTATTAATTACATCAAATTCCGATATGTCTTTGTTTTAAATTAGGTCTATTTTTTTAGTCCTGTAATCTTTGTAAATAAAATAAAATAAAATAATTGTAAAATAAATAAGAGAAAAAAAAGATTAAGGTTTATTCTATTTAGGTTTAAATATATCATCAAGCATTAGAAGAAAGACATAAAGACGAAAATTTGTAAGAAAATATAGTTAAAAAGATCAAATATAAATTATGTAAAAATACATTCTTCTAAGCTTCTAAGCTTCTAACATACCGATATACCGCGAAAACTCGACGTAAACACACGTTGAAACATAGCCGGATGAAGCGATTGCTCTCTATCGTGTATTTATTTTTCTTCTCAGGATTTCGTCGTTGATAAGATATTTTTTCATTGAAAACAATCGAGAAAATCAACGAAGAACATCACTGGTCGACTCGGAATTAACCTCATTAGCGCACGCGTAATTAGGTTAGATTAGGTTACATCAGGTAAAGCTGTAATATATATTCCACATTGGAAGAAAAAAGATAAACTCTGAACTAGTGCAGCCAGTTCAGCTAAAAAAAACAAACCTAGAGAAACGATCTATCAAATTGTGTCGTGAAATAGAGAGATCTAACGTTTTAATAACGCAAATAAATAATATAATATCAAGACTCAGGCAAAAATATATTGTCATGTGTAAAGCTGTAACATATTGTGCTTTCGTGCTGAGTTTGCATTCTCTTTCGAAGTATTCTGAACTCTGTCCCGTGAAACGTATATAGATAAGAAATTTTGAGCTCCGGAAAAGAGGAGGAGCGTCTGTCACAAAAAAGCAAAACGTTGTATGTATGTATGTATGTACATACATACAAACAATTGGATTTGCAATCGTTTGCGACATGGATTATTTGACGCTTGATACTGAGCAGCTGATTGACAATGATTTGTTTTCGTCGACTGCACCGAGCACCACAGTTACACGTAATAATGAAACACAAAAAGGTAATATGATAAATAGTATTATAGTATATAAATTGTATGGTAATTATGCAGAATACCCGCTTCACCTCCGATTTTAATAAATGAGCACTCAATCGACACGTTTTCACTTAAAACGAAAGGATCTGAAAAAAGCCGCGGTCTGCCTTGCGAAGCGAGTTATCGCACGTTAAAGTTGGAGAGTTTAGAGGTTAAGATACTTGTCATATCCACACGATGCAGCGCTATGTGAACATATTTTGGTCACATAATCATTAATTGCAAGTCGCAAACCCATATAAAATAGTATAATTATGGACCTTGCTTTGCGTAGACACAGGGGTCCGGCCCCCCCCCCCTCCACGGGTCCATAATTATACTATTTTATATGGGTTTGCGTCCATAATTATACTATTTATATGG